AAATGGTACAATTTTCTTTTTTTTTTTTTTTTTTTAACAGCCAAGTAGTAAATGTATCACATCTTTTTTATTCACTCATCTACTGACCAGCACTGGGGCTATTTCCAGATCTTGGCTATTGTAAATAATGCTGCTAGGGTTACATACATTTTTTCGAATTGGTGTTTTGGGAATCTTAGGATAAATTCCCAGAGTGGAATTGCTGGGTCAAAAGGCAGTTCCATTTTTAATTTTTTGAGGTAACTCCATACTGTTTTCCACAGTAGCTGCATCAGTCTGCATTCCCACCAGCAGTGTATTAGGGTTCTCTTTTCTCCACATCCTCAGCAACACTTGTTGTTTGTTGTCTCATTGATGGTAGTCATTTGGACAGGTGTGAGGTGATATCTCCCTGTGGTTTTAATTTGTGTCTCTCAGATAATTAGTGAACTTTTTTTTCATATGTTTATTGGCCATCTGTATGTCCTATTTGGAGAAGTATCTAATCAGATCCTTTGCCCATTTTTTAATTGGATTGCTTGTTTTCCTGGTGTTGAGTTGTATAAGTTCTTTATATATTTGGAAATTAACCCCTTATCAGATGTATCACTGGTAATATGTTCTCCCATACAGTGGGTTCCCTGTTCATTTTGTTGATGGCTTCTTTTGCTGTGCAGAAGATTTTTTTTTTTTTTGTTAATCCTCAGCCAGGGATATTTTTTCCATTGATTCTTACAGAGAGTGGAAAGGAAGGAGGGGGAGACGGGGGAGGGAGAGAGAGAGAAACATTGATGTGAGAGAGACACATCAATTGGTTGCATCCTACACGGGCCGGCGGGGAGGGGGGAGGGGAGAAATGAACCTGAAACCCAGGTACATGCCTTTGGCCGGGAATTGAACCCATGACTCTTCATTGTGAGGACCAATGCTCTATCACTGAGCCACACTGCCAGGTTGTGCAGAAGCTTTTTTGTTTGATGTAGTCCCATTTGCTTATTTTTCCCTTTTTTAAAAAGTTAATTATAAAACGTGAACTTTTCACAGGGAGCACCCTTTTGTAAACAAGTTTTTATCTACTGTGCTAATTTAGTAATTAGGCTGCTAATAAACCAAATCCACTCATAGAGAAAAGCTCAGTGTGATATATGAATGAGACTGAAGTGTCAGGTTCAATGACAGAGTTTTGGAAAACATGAAATTTTAGAGGATGTTTGATTTCCTTTTAGTTTAATTCATTTTTTGCCTTTTCAGTTCTTCAGAACTATCAGCACATGGTATATATAACATTTAGATTTTTAGCAACAAAGTTCAGAATAAAGCTGAATTCTATTCCCTAATAATTCATTTATTATTTGATTAAGAAAACTATGTGTTTATCTCAAACTTGCAGCCAAGTAGCATCCCATAAAGTACATTTTGGACAGAGGGAAGCTACCCCTTTTACTGAAATTTTAGCAATTCAACTCAATTTGGATACAAATCATTCTAAAACATTCTACATAGTTTCTTTTCTTTATAACATTATTACAAAAATGAAAAAAAGCAAATTCCTTTATCTTCTGCCATATACAAACTGATTCCATTTTTGTATTTTCTCATACTTTGTACCATATGCATGAATTGTAAAGTAGGAATTATTTTAAAATATAATTGACATAACTTAATTATCTCAGCAGAGTTTGAAGTGTTTAATATGAGCACTGTTTTCAAAAGGGCCTTTCGGGTTTGTTCCAATAACATTATTGCATTGGGAACACTGCAAACACTACAGATTTTGATTTCAACATGGCATTTGACAAGTCTCTTCAGATTTGGGCAAAGTGAAAAAATGTTGGGAAGATGAGAGTTCCTTTAGGTGTATTTGTAACTGAAAAAAATGACCATAGAGTTTCAAATAAAAAATTAAAATAACATTGTGTGCTTTCCCCTTATTGAAAAAGTAATATGTGTTATCTGTAGACATTTTGGAGAATTAGCTAAGTACAAGGAATAAAATGAAGATCACATACAATCCCAAACCAACATCTAACCATTCCTCAACATTTGATACATATATTAATAGAAAATGAAATCATACTGTAATCTTTTAGTAAAACATTTTGTTTACTTAGTATATTATGAACGTAATTCCATGTCATTATTATTCTCCTACATTATTCTCCTACATTATTTGCTAACAAATGCATGCTATTTTATCAGGTGAAGATACCATAATACATTTAACATATCCTCTGTTACTGTTTCCAACATTTTTGTTATTAATATTAGGACTACATATTGAATTTTCCAAAGGCCTTTTTTAGCATGTATTTAATTGCTTAAGTGATTTTCTTCCTTGTACTTTTTGTTGTGGTGAAGTATTTTTAACGTCAAATAATTTTTGCATTTCTGGAAACCCCCTTATTTGATTATGGTATTTATTTTCATTTAATTTTAGTTATGGAAATTTCCAGACCAACTCCAAAGTGTAGAGAATAATGTAATAAATTCTCATATAACCTACACCCAAATTCTATAATTATCAACATTCTTGTTTCATCTATTCTCTCTTCCTCCCCTTTTTGGTGGAGTGTTTTAAAACAAATTTTAGGACAACCTACCATTTTACCCATAAATACTATAATATGGTTCTCTACTAGATAAGGGCTTTAAAAACACAAGCACAATGCCATTATGACATCTAACAAAAGGACCAATTAATACATGTGCTCATTTCCTAGAGTCATACAGCAACCTATCCAAGTTCAGTGTTCTCCAATTGCATCACTATTGGGTTTTTGGAATTGCTGATTTGTTTTAAGAAGTCTCTTTACAATAGCCCTCCCTTCTTTTTAATTTGTGTGTGTGCTTTGTTGAAAAAATGGGGTCTTTTTTTTTGTCATACTCTGCACTCAAGATTTGATTGATTGCATCCTTGTGGTTATAAACATACTCTCCTTTCCCTGGCATTTTTTTTCATTAGACCTAGAGTAGACTGAAGTTCAAATTTTAGGCAAGAATATTTCAAAGGAGGTACTGTCTCCTTGCTTTTGTTCCACGTCAGGAGGCACATAAAATCTGCTTGTCCTACTTAGTGGTGTCAGGATTCAGGTGCTGCAGTCCCGTGCGTCCCTTACGAAGTTCCCCATTATTTGTGTATCCTTTCAATCCAGTGCTGGATTTGATTGGCCGCTATTTTATTTATTTATTTTTTTTACATCTGTAGTTCATAAGTGAGCTACTTCTCTTGATTCCTTTCTGTGTATTGCCTTTGACAGGTACAGGCAATAGGATTAAAGAGCAGGAATGCAAAGAGAATGGTACTTGGATTGATGTCGGGCAACCTGGTTACCATCTCATAAGGCTGTGATCACTTGTCCGAGATAGGCACAGCACTCAACTGCCTGAGGGAGAAACTGGTAAGAATACGATCGGAACCAAAGCAGAGCCTGTCCTGAGAAAAGAGAACATAATTTGGAGTGATTTCAAATGCTCAGGTGGCTCTTCCGTCTTCTGCTGGTCACTGGGGTCTTTATTTCCAGAGCTAGTTACTACCAGGAGGCTCTGAGGGGGACAGTGCAGGAGAGCCCCTCCAGTCTAGCTATGAAAGCCCTCCTCGTATCCAGAACAACAAAAGAGCATTTCTTTCTTTCTAGATAATAAACAGTCAATCATTTTGAATAGGTGTTGTGTCAGGACTTCAACTATTCACCATCCCCCGCCCCCCCTCCCCCCTCCCGTTTGCTGCCTACAGTCAATCATTTTGAATAGGTGTTGTGTCAGGACTTCTACTATTCACCATCTCCCCCCCTCCCCCCTCCCCGTTTGCTGCCTGGAGTTTGTTTTGTTTTTGTTTTTATGATGAATACTTTAAGAGATATTTTTATTGTCGGAAGGCTGACTCCTTGACCAGAAAGACATTGTTTTGCACAAATGTGTGTGTATATATATATAGCCATGCACTGGGGTTATCTCAGCAGTCACACCCTAAGGCTCAGAGGGTGGGGGTATGGGACGCATGAAGTCTGCACAGAGTCCTGCCCACTGCCTTCCCCTTCCATCATGTTCCTGACCTGGGGCCTCCACAGTCTTTATCATTCCTTATTGCTAAAATCCTGAAACTTTGGGTAACTCGCGTTAAGGATGTTCTGAACTAATCTCTGCCAACAATTTTATTCTGAATGTCCAGGCAGCTTCATTACTGAGGTTGATATAAGACCTAGTTTCCAAGCATCCCTCCTTTTCTCAATCATTACTGGATAAACATTCACTGAACCGTCTTGTGCCAGGCACTGGCTAATGCTGGGCCCACACCAAGATGAATAAGACATGTTTCCAGCAAAGGGACAGATCTAAGCAAATAATTACCACAGATGTGAACGTGGGAGTACAGAAGGAGAAAGCGAATCTCCCTGGAGGAAACGGTTTTTCTCTTGGGTTCCGATAATTCGTTTGCTTCTCCCAAATTGTAAATCTCCGCTCTCGGTGGGGCACTTTCTTCTGTCCCCGCGGTTTGGGGCAAGAAGAAACCCTCGGCCACGTACCTCTAGAAAGACCAGCCCCGGAGGAAACAACAGGACCCTGTCTCAATATTGCTCCTCTGTTTCCTCATGCAGAAAGCATTTCCTCTCCGACATCATCTGCGGGGCATGGCCAGAGTGACTGTTCTTAAAATAAGCAGCCGTTCATATTCAAAATGATGCCATTGTCCTCTCCCTCCCTTTTTTGTCATTTCAAAATATTTAAAAACCACTGATATTTCTCTGAAGCCCAACAATGACTAAAGTTGGCATGACTGGTAACATGACTGAAATTAAAGGGGTGGGGGTGGGGATCAGAGCCTCTTTTAAAAGAAGAACCTGTTTGGAAATGCACTCAGGAGGCCCATGGTGGCCGTTGGAAAGGTCCCTGTATCTTGCATCTGCCTGTTGCCCATCTGTAGAAGCCGGGATGACATGAAACCCAAGTCCCCGTCTCCCAGTGCAGGGGAACTTGGCCACCTCCGCCTCTGTGGGAGAAACTCAACAATGACAGAAAAGCATGTTTCTAAAAAGCCTGCGGTGGCTTGTGTATCCATTGGAATGATAGCAATTCCATACCTGTGGCCGTGGGAGCCCTCATGTCATTCTAGAGCAGCGGTTCTCAACCTGTGGGTCGCAACCCCTTTGGGGGTCAAACGACCCTTTCACAGGGGTCGCCTAAGACCATCGGAAAACACATATATAATTACATACTGTTTTTGTGATTAATCACTATGCTTTCATTATGTTCAACTTGTAACAATGCAAACACATCCTGCATATCAGATATTTACATTACGATTCATAACAGTAGCAACATTACAGTTATGAAGTAGCAACGAAAATAATGTTATGGTTGGGGGTCACCACAACATGAGGGACTGTATTAAAGGGTCGCGGCGTTAGGAAGGTTGAGAACCACTGTGCTAGAGGCTCTCAGTTTACAAAGAAGCCCACAACCAGAAAACGACTTCATGTCCTCATGTACCGATGCTGATGGGGTTGTCACAGAAAATCAAGTGGAAAGCAAAGGAGGGACACGCCGTTCTGCTCACGGTTTCATTTTGGGATTCTGTCCGTTGCACGGAACTGTTAGGAAGCCTGTAAGTGTTGTCACACTCTCGGGGAAGAGAGTCAGTCCTTCGGAACATGACTTCCAAGAAGCATCGGCACCGTGTCTGCTCCGATCCCGTGCGCATCAGGACAGCCGATCGAAGCGGGAAGTTCACGTGTCAGTCTGCAGACTGACCCACACTGACGCTGCCGCCCAGAGACAGGGAGGGGGCCGCTATGTTTCCATAGCGCATAAACGGAAAAGCGGAGGGCATTCTGTGTAATGGGCACAGGCAGACACTGCAATTTTTGAAAACACACACACACACACACACACACACACACACCCCAAAAACAGGTTGTTTTGACTTCCTGACACTCACAGCTAAGTAATGCTTTCGGTGCCTGCGCTCAGCACTGCGGGAGGGGCCGGCATCCTGTGCCTCTGTCTGGCAAAAAGGGCCAGGAGCTAGGCAAGATGCCGCTTGGTGACCCACAGGAGAATAATGAGGTTTCACACTGTCCAGGGACAGAAAGAGGGTGGATTCTGGAGGTTCAATTCTGTAAAAGAATAATCAAAGATGTTCATAAATATTAAATATTTCCATTTGGGCTATGTGTTTTCACTTTTTTAAAAAAATTATCTGCTTTAAAAATATATGCCAGTCTCTATCAGATTCAGTTAGGAGAACAGAAAGCACACTAGGTATTTTATTTTACTTCATTGTGTTTTTTCCATCACCATGTATCCCCTCTGCCCTTTAAACAGAGGTGGTGCTATACAAGGAATGAATAGGCTGAAAGGAAGAAAACAAGGATGGTGAGCTAACCCAGAGATTAGTAAACTGGAAGTAGCTACCACCACTCAGGCTGGGTGAGAAGATACAAAAGAAAGAGGCAGAGATACCAGGACCAGGGGGCAGAGTAAGGAGCAGCTGCCTCAGAGTGGGGTGGGATTGGAGGGGGGGTGGGTGGGGGAAGGAGGCCACTGCTTAGCTGTGCTGAGTTGGCTGACCGGGTGCCATGCAGTTGTGCTCAGACCATCGAGGGAACTGCTCAGCTGGCTCCGATCTCCGAGGGGCTGCCTTGTGGCCAGAGCTGGGCCTGCTGGGCCTCCCGAGAGCGCCCCGCATGCTGTCCGGGGGCCAAAAGATGCTAGAGTCGCTGCCATCTATTTGTGTAGAGAGATGCTGACAGCTGCTGGAGCAGGGGAAGAAAAATCTCTTCTGTCTACCTCCCCAGAGCCTCTCACCAGCAGAATCTGCTAGAACAAGCTGTCAAACGTGTCTTAGAAATGTGTTCCTCATCTCCCCAGCCCAAGTGTCACAGAGCACAGTGTAGGAGGGCAGAAGACAATAGGTGAATAGACTGTCACAGATCCTCCCTATGGCTAGCAATGACCCACATGCTCTCTTCTACCCACTTTAAAACTTCTATTTTACAATAATGTCAACCTCATGCTCTGTCTAGCTAGCATGTTGTAACTTCCCTTTGTGCAAACATGCTTTCACCTTCTTCCCCCCCAAAATGGAGACACCAATGTCTAAAACTCTTCATATCTATCTCTGAGTGATCATTTTTTTTGTTTTGTTTATTCACTCAAGACTTTATATTGTAAGTTAATTGTCACCAGCACTCTCTCTATAAAATAATAGGGGATTAGAAGAAAGAAAATGACCGGACCCAGATGAGGAAGAAACTATTCCTATCTGCCACTTTCTTTCTTTCTGGGCCTGGTGACAAAGCCACAGCTGATATTTATAACGTCCTTTTTCTACCCCCATCCTCCCCATCCCTGGCCTTCAGCCAGCTGGTCAGCGTTTTTACCTAGTGCGGCAACCCAAACCTTCATTTTTGAAGGGTACGAATTCTTTTTCAGTCCTGTGGTGTGTGGACGTAACAAATGACTCTGAGCTGCCTTAGAGACGCCTCTCAGTTTTAGACCTAGTTTTTCCTGCCAGCGTCGTGTAGCAACTGATACAGGTCAACAGAATCAATCACCCCAACCAAGTACAATAACCCCTTCCTTTGTCTGTTGGTTCAGCAACATGAGGGACCCAAATTGCCAGATGGCAATCTTACCTTCCAGTTCAATGGAACAATTGTGTCTCTTCCTTTAGGAACTAAGCTCTCTAACAAGTGCCCATTACAGGAAGTGTGGGGATAGGAAACAAAAAAATCTGTAAGTGGATTATTAGGGGTAACAGAGGAACTGGGTACTATTATCTTCACCTCTTTATTTACGGATCCATTGATTCCGTCTCTGGGAAATAAAGCCCTATACATTGGTCATTGGTTTAGAGCATATACTGCATCCTGTACAGTAGTGATCCCACCTCTCAGGACATTCTCTCAGAACCCTAATTGAATCTTTAGGAGGCCGTGCTACCTTTCTCTCAGGCTAGATGCTCCTAGATGTTATGGTAAGACCAGTGAGTTCCATTGGCATAAGCCCATTGCTATGTTTTGGGGTTTTGTTTGTGCTTTTTGCTGTGAAATGAGTTGCTGGGTCTGAAGTAGTTTGTTCGGGTTACCGTGGAGGTGCATAAGGCAATCCATAAGTCCATGGTGTGTATTCGTAGAAGTATTGCAAGCAGAGAAGACAAATCACTCTCCAGAATAAGTACCTATTCCAGGAAGACAATTTCAGCCCCTCCTTATGGAAGGGTTCAGGGTAGCTCGTGGCTGGATTGTCCCCATTCCCCACCCAATGATGTCATCACAGGAGCCAACCTGGGCTTTTGCTATTGTTGGCTTGAGCACTTGATGGTAGTAACCAGGCACAATGGGTGATGAAAAGTCCATGGTGCTGGGCCCATGCACAGCCTCCATGCCTGGATCATGTCTCGTGTACACAAACCGATTGAGCAAGTGCCTTCTTTGGGCATTTGAAGGAAGGAGCTGACAGACATCCACTGTATAGGCTTTCTTCTTTACCTCATTATTAAGAGCTTTGTGTGTAGCAGATCCCTTTGAGAGTGTTCACATAGCTCCTAACATTCAACCAAACATCCTCATGCCCTGTGCCAGTGTAAGAGGTCCATCTATATACCACATGCAGACAGTCTTCTGTTCCTTTCTTTCCAAATCCCACAATCAAAAAAAAAAAAAAAAACCCGTACCCTTTTATGTAATGATGTTTACTTTGAATTTATATTAGTTCACACAAACACTCCATCCATGCTTTTGTTCCGGCCCTCCGGTCCAGTTTAAGAACCCATTGTGGCCCTCGAGTCAAAAAGTTTGCCCACCCCTGACATAGCTCCTAACATTCAACCAAACATCCTCATGCCCTGTGCCAGTGTAAGAGGTCCATCTATATACCACATGCAGACAGTCTTCTGTTCCTTTCTTTCCAAATCCCTGACAATCCAGCCAAACCATGAGCCATCACCCATTTTAGGTAGAGGCCCATCCACATCGTGGGCCATCTCTCAGGCCCCTCAAACTGGACAGTGAGAGATGTTGCTTAAAGTTATGCTCACAGAAAGGATTTCCCCTCCCGTGTGTGTGTGTGTGTGTGTGTGTGTGTGTGTGTGTGTGTGTCTGTTTAGCACACTTCTGACTGTGGCTATAACGCCCTCTTCTTAATTTGCCCGTAGAATGAGAAAAAAACATCTGTATATCAGACTCACTCCTCAGTCACTTGCTCACAGGGAGCTCTCCATAGAAACCTCGCACTGAATAAAGGCAGGCAGGCAGTGCAGCCGAAGAATGTGCAATAGGAGCCGGAGCCGTCAACACATGGGACTTGATTGTTCCTCTGGGATCTGCGAGTCTGATTTCGCACATACCATTTCCACTCGGTGACAAAGTGTTTCTGGGCATGCCTAATTATGAAGTCTAATAAATCAGATAACACCCAGACAGTTGTGGGCAGCTCATGTCATAGGGCTAGGGGTTCATTCTCTAGAAGGTTCATGAGTAAGGCCAGAGCAGTGTCTCATAAGGAAAACAGTTATCTGGAGGCTTTGCTTCAAACCCTCAGGCCATCCTCCTGGGGTCTGCCATGGGCTCCACACAGCATCCCTATTTACCATCGAAACGTCAAGTGCTCCTGGATCTGCTGGGTCATAAGGCCCATGTGGCAGCATAGCTTGCACTGGATTAGTCTGCAGTCTACAACCTGGACTAGCTGTGGAACCTTCTAGTACTTGCTCATCACTCAAAACTAGCTGCGTTATGGGTTACACACTGAATTGATCAGAGCGGCACACTCTGACCAATTTCTTGTGTCATTTGCTGCCTCCAAAATACAGAGGCCCTCCAAATGGTGAAAAATATTCTTGGTGCAAGGTGCAACAACTTGTCTTTCACTCTGGAGGGAATGATCTAATATGATCCAGAATATTGGACCCTAGAAACCTCATCTAGGAGGCTGGCTCCTGGATTTCATGGGTTGTAAATTTGAACCTCTGACATGCATGTGTCTGCGGCAGCTAATGTACAGGACACCTGTTGTTCACCAGATTCAAACATCGTGATGTCCTCTGTGCGGTGGATCAGTTTGAGCTCTCATGAGAGCAGGTCCTGCAGACAGAACAACTGTAAACCTACTTTTGCCCCACCCTGTATTAACAGCTGCCCAAATATAGGGCCATCATATGGGAAGTTGGACTTGGGCCTAAAAGGTAACAAGAAAATAATGAAAACACAGTTCTTTATACTTGATAGAATGTGGAAATATGTGGTGTATAGTATGGTAGTTAGGGCCAGGCATGGAAGAAACTTTAAAAAATATATCAAATATGATTACTGGGTCTTCATTTTAAAAGCACAACAGTATATAACGTGTGTGTCATTCTTTGCTCATTATAAAACATTGTTACATCTTCAAAGGATTATATAGAAGATACATGAATGAATAATGGAAAACAGTTAGACTCCGTAAGTGATACAACATTATTGCTGTAATGTTTAGTCCTCATAATAGATTTGTAGACTAATTGGACTAAAGTTTATTTACATTTTATAGATGAGGAAGTGAGGCTTTCTGTGTTTAGGTAACTTGTCTGAGTTCTCATAGCTGATCAGTAATAGAGTTTCAAATCAAAACCAGCTATATTGATTAATATATTGACATTGGTGATATTGTTAGGAATGTACATGTGTTTGCATAAATGAGATATTCATTTATTTATTCTTATTTTATTTTTCTCTCTTCTTTTTCCCTTCCCCAAATAAAACAGAGAGAAGGAGAGAGTTCTGAAGACTGAGAAAGAATGGTGGTCTTCAGTTTGTTCTTCACGTAGCAGAGACCCATGCCTCTTGAAGCATTGTGGGGAGAACTTGTAGAGGAAGGACTGGATGGTGTACATAGAGAGGCTCTACATGAGACTCTAGGCTTTCAGTCCTGGCAGAGAATTCTGTGCCAACCTTGGCAGAAATCAGCAGAGCCGTCTGAACTTACAGGAGCATGAGAGATTGGACAATGTGCACATGGGTGAAGTCTGCTATGGGGTGAAGACAAGAAGGATTGATCTAAACAACATAAATCAATAAATCAGCAGAGCCGTCTGAACTTACAGGAGCATGAGAGCTTGGACAATGTGCTCATGGGTGAAGTCTGCTATGGGATGAAGACAAGAAGGATTGATCTAAACAACATTAATCAATCTAGGTAAGTTCCCAGGGGCTTTTGCTCAACACTGGGAGGCCCAGGATGATGAGGACCTACACTCACATGTATTTTGATTTTGGAACAAAATGAAATATTGTGCTATTTCTCATACACCATTGTTTGTGGAGTTTGTACCTCTTCCTTATATATTTGTTTGGGGGCACAGAAGGGAAAAGCAGGGCAGCGATGATGAATGGACTGTGATTCTGGTTGTCAGAGAGCTGGAGAATTTGCTTCCTGTCACCATGGATGGAAAGAATGGCCTCCTGTGCACCTTAGTATCCCTATCAACCCCACATGTTTTCTGTTTATTATTGGTAGGTGCCAGTGGCTGATTCACTTAGCTGTTTGGAAGACAGTGCTAATGAGGCCAAGGTCAAGGTTCTCTCGTTTCCATAGAGTCAAACATACTCAGTGAGAGAGAACTTCAGTTTCAGTTACCACAGATTAAATTCCTAACCCGCACCTACTGCCTTGCAAATGCGGGCTGGGTGATGGGAGGCCAGGTGAGAGGGTGTGAATTATTCAGCACAAAGCTCACCACCTCCAAGGGCAAACACTCAAAACATGTCCTGTTGACATCCTTGCAATCTGTGTGTTTATGAAGGAGAGTACACACTGCTGTCATGTGAACTAATTCACAACAAAGAAATACATCATATGAAGTTCTACTAATTTTTGACTAGAGACTGATTGGGCAAAAGGCTCTATCAGTTTAGTGCCATATCTTTTTATATATATACTAGAGGCCCAATGCATGAAATTCATGCAAGGGGCTCAGCCCTTGCAGCCCCAGCTGCCTCTGCCCTCTCAGCCCTGGCTGCCTCGTGGCCCCATGGCCCCGCCCACTGGTCGTTCTGGAAGGTCATTCTGTCATCTAGTCTAATTAGCATATTAGCTCTTTATTATATAGGATATATTTTTATTGATTTCAGAGAGGAAGGGAGAGGGGGGAGAGAGATAGAAACATCAATGATGAGAGAAAATCATTGATTGGCTGCCTCCTACATGCCCCCTACTGGGGATTGAGCCCACAACCTGAGCATGTGCCCTCGACTGGGCTCGAACCTGGGACCTTTTAGTCTACAGGCCGACACTCTATCCACTGAGCCAAACAAGTTAAGGCTAGTGCCATATCTTATCTGCACTAAACATTTGATCCATAAATACACATATCATCTTATAATTTGCAAAAATAATACAGACCTAAAGAAGCATGCTTAAACCCTATGTTCATAGCAGCACAATTTACAATAGCCAAGATTTGGAAACAGCCTAAATGCCCATCAACAGATGAGTGGATTAGAAAACTATGGTACATCTACACAATGGAATACTA